ACACATACATATATATACAGCGACAGCTGCACGTTTGGAATAGTGAGGCACTTGCCCTCACTACTATTTGACATATACATAATTTTTTATCTAAAAAAATAATATATTTTAAAAAATAAAAATTATATTCTAATAAAATAAATATATAGATTCAGAAAAAATGTTTATTTATTTGATATCTGTCAAATTTTTGAAGGAAATTAATTCTCATGTGATAAAAAAAATTCTTAATAATGAATTAATTTTTAAAAAAGTTTAATTATAATATATATATATATATATATATGTCTTAATATTCACATATATAATGTAATATATTAAAATAAATAATTTTTTGATAAAATAAAATTTGCAACATGCATGTTTATCTTTTGTGTTTTTTATTTATGGTATACGTTGATTGAAAAAATCAAAATAGTAAAATTGTATACATTGATTAAATTTTTTTATTTATTGTATATCCGTCGGAAATTTACATTTTTCTTGTAGTGGATGGCTCTGGGGAATCTAAATTTTCATGCAATGCTTGTATCTCTCAGTCAACCCAAGGTTTAAGAGAGCATGTAAGCTGTACTTATATCAAGTATTATGTGTAGCTTATTTATAAGTTTCTAATCGCATAGTGTGATAGTTTTTTGGGGGGAGTTGGTAATGTTAAGAATGATATTTCATTGATGGTATATTTCTAGATCTAGGAAAATCTCGGTGAAAGTGTAATAGGTACAAGGCATTTTATTTCTTGTCTTGCTAGGTTTTTGTCAGAGTAGTAGTCTCATTTTAGTTGCCACTTGCCAACAATTTCTGTCTTCAAGTAGAACATGGCAACGAGCATAATGAGTAACAACTCAACAAGGGATGTACTTACTCTATGATTCTGACTACAAACATTTTTAACTTGAATGAAATTTATTGTTCTATAGAAGTACTCGTGGTTTTTTAGGGCTTTTATTCTATATTGCTTATTTGGCAAGGCCTCTTTATTTATTTTATTATTATAGTTATAATACTTAAATTTTCGCATCAATATTTATTCTCTTGATGATCTCTGAACTTTATTAGGTGCAATTTCAAACAACAACCTTCGAAATTTGAAAATTTCATCCAAAACCTGCAAAATTAACTAGCTCAAACACATGCAATCCATCAAATGAACCAATTTTCAGCATACAACTCAAAAATCAACTCCTTTTCAACATGCAACCACCAAACACCTTAAAATCCCCATTTTTCCCATTTTCCCGAAAACCCCGAAAACATAATCTCCTCAAATCCGACCATCATTTTCCAAAAATCAAACAACATTTGAGTGTCTAAACTCACTTCCAAACAATTTGCACGAATCTAGCTTCCCTTACCTCGGAGAAGAAGAATCCGAGCTCCAGGGAAGAGGAGAGGAAGAAGGAGAGATACAGAGAAAGGAGAAGCCAATTCGGAGCACTCAACTAGTCTCTACTGTAACATCCCGAATTTTCTACTAGTATAATGGTTATTTATTATTTATTTTATATTTATAGAGATTATTTTCTTATAGTTATTTTAATGGGTTTTATAGAATGTTTTAAAGGTTTTAAATAATTATGGGTATTTTAATAATAAATATTTATGAAAATTATTTTGAAATATTTTGATTTTTAATAACCCAGAACGGGCTGTTCTCAAATTGGAACGGGCCGTTCCAGACTACAAAATGGCCTAGAAAGACGAGAAACGGGTCGTTCCACACATGGCCATTGTGGGTTAATTTGTAAACCCAGAACAGACCGTTCTGGTCTGAGAACGGGTCGTTCTGGATATGAAATTTTAGCATGACGAATGAGTCCAAAACGGGCTGTTCCGGATTCGAAAAGGGTCGTTCTGGCTACTCTTGATGCCTATAAATAAAACGCTCCGGCACTCTCAAAAGCACATTTTTCACTTCTGGCCTCTTTTTTCTTCTACACTCTCTGAAGACCAAGGGAGAACCCAGAAGAGGGGACTAGCTAGATCTGGCTTGAGTTTCAGCTCCTGCTTATCGAGGTAAGGGGGAGTGAGAAACCTCTCTTTGGGTGTGGGAATATATGTTGGGTAGTGGGATTGACTCAATACTATGTTTATTGTATGCTCATGTATGAGGGATTTTTTTCAATTATATATGTTTCTTCTATTGCTCTTCTTATGTGTAAGTAATTGTATAATTTGAGATCTCTGTGGGTTCTTGAAAAAACCCTATGAGAAATAGAAAAAATATGAATGTTTTCTGTTTTGCTATCTGATTGCTCTATTGTATTCCTTGTTGAATGTAATGTGTAAATATGTGATTAATTTTGAGAATAAATATGTTTTGATATGATTTAGAGTGCTTTATGGGTTCCTGCGAGAAACCGTATGAGAAATAGGCAAAATATGAATATTTTCTGTTTTGATTTCTAATTGTTCTGTTATATTCCTTGTTTGATGAAATGTAAAAATATGTATTTAATTTTACAAATAGACGAGTTTTGATATAAATTAAAGTGCTCTGTGGAGGCTATGTGAATATGATGAGATAATGTGATAATGTGATATGATGATGTAATGTGAAATGTGATTGAGACATGAGATATGAAGATGTGGTAATGTAATATGATGATATGATAAGATGATGTGAAAAGTGATAATGAGACATGATGATGTGATATGATAATGAGACATGACAATGTTATGTGAGAATGCATAGAGTCTTGATTGACATGCATAATGTGCATAAATGTTTTTAAGGGTACGATATGGAATACACCGCCAGAGAAGACCCCCTAGTGTAAAAGCTTTAGGGATTAGTCCTTGGGGATAGCTCGGTTTGGAAGTCTAAGTCTCGCCCATTGTGTGCATGGGATGTATCTTGCGCGGCTTAGCTATCCCGACGAGACTCTGGTAGTATATCCTTCTAGTGAGAGTGCGCAGAGGGTGTGACCCAACATGTACTCCTAGACTACTCTTCGTGTATTGCTAGCGGCAATATGTCATGTGATGTTTTACTGGTGCCACATGCATGATAATATATAGTATGTGTCCATACATGTGCATTTTTAATGTTATATGATAAGTTGATATTTTTATGTCTTGGATGAGTGAGATGTAATGTTGTTGTTAATATATCTATGTTATATCTGTCTTGTTGTGTTTGACTATCCGGTGTATATTTCTACACTATGAGCCAGAGTGAGATGTTTCTCACTCCCTTTTTTCTCTTGTGTTGTTTTCTCTAACTGTCATACAGGTTATTATCAGCATGAGGCTGAGGATGTTGATGATGAAGTTCAGGCTTCTACGTTAGGATTTGCTCTGATAGGATATGTGACATCGGGGCATAAATAGGATTAGATTGGGATGTTGTTTTTATTAAATTATTTTGGAAAACTCAGTTTCATTTCCTTGTAATTTCTCTACATGTTATTTGGATTAAGTTTATGAATGTGAACTCTTTACCCTTATGTTGTTGGAGATTTGATTGTCTTATGTTGAAGAATTGTATTTTATTTTATTTATTTTATATAATTACTATATATGTATGTTGGGGTAGAGGGTGTCACATCTACTTAGCACCTTTAGAGACCAAGGAAAAGGAAGAGAGTGAGAAGAGAACGGGAG